GCACCGGCACCGGCCCCGGCGCAGGGCCGGCACGGCGCGGAGGCCGGCTTCCAGAACGCCTCGCGGTGTCGCGGGCCAGGCTGCGGCGCGCTGGGCAAGGCCATGCTGGAGGGCTACTGCGACAAGTGCTACGTCAAAGAGCAAAGCGCACGGCTCAACCAGGCGACGCATCGCACGCCTCGCTCCCCTCCCCCCGTGGCGGTAGGTGCCGCTTCCTCTCGTTCGGATCACGCTGATGTCATGAACATCGATATTAATTGGAGGCCGTTTCATCCACCCCAAATGCGGCGTATATTCACGCATATAATACCCCATCATATTTGTACATGTCCAGCTATACAATTGCAGGGCGCACTCAGCGGGCAAACATTTTGCGGGAGGGTCATTTTATGGCTGCAATATCTTTCTCTTTTATCATGGTGATTTGGATGGCAACATTTTCAGATTGCATCATTTGACAAGTTGATACTTCCTCCAACGCCCTCGTGAGCATGTCATCGTCTGCTTTGCCATATTTTTCATGGACGTTTGTTCGTCTTCCTCGATTGACCGATCGGTAAATGTCTATTTTTATGTCATTTCAAAAACAGATTTTGCATTGACTTTTATCTACAGCTGAGGAGAACCTCAGTTCCCCCAACTAGCGTAGGACCGTTGATATCATGGAGGGTGCCCCGCCTCCCCCAAAAAAGCCCATCCCAGACTTGAGATGCGTCCTACCAGTCAATCTCGATGAGATCATTTTGTCAGCCGTGTAACGGCAGGAATTTGGATGGAATGCAATGGGCCTCTTGGTGCAGTCGCTGTTGATTTAGTGAGCTGACCTTCTGCCCTTTGTCGCGTTTGCCCCGACAGCGCGAGCGAGCCACCAAACCCCGATCCACGCAGCAGTCGCAGACGCAGACGCAGTGCCGGCGGAGCGGCTGCAGCAACGTGTCCCCGGGCTGCACGGACCTCTGCCCCGAGTGCCACACGCGGGGGGGCCAGGGCCGAGACGCCGGCCGGCGGGCGCAGGCGCCCAAGGAGAAGTCCAAGCAGCGCTGCCGGACGCAGGGCTGCGACCACTACGCCAACCAAGAGAAACAGGGCTACTGCAACGAGTGCCACCACTTCAAACAGATCTACCGCGGATGAGCGCCCCGGCGCCGCTCCCCTACTAACCGTCCGACCCGCTCGCTGGCTAGTGACTAACCCGTAACCTTAGGGCCTGAAAATCAACACCCTTTCCTCCCCCGTGTAGAATGTGAAGACCGAGTGCGTGCGTGCGCGCGCACGCGGGGGGATAAGCGAACGCGTGAGTGCGCGTTGCGGAGCGCGCGTGCGCGCAGTCGACATGGCCTCCGCAATACCTCTTTGTGCAGTCAAGACCATTCGACGAGCTGCGGCCGCACGTGTACAAAATGTATTTCAAGGTACCTGCCCACTCGTGCCGGACGCAATGATTGTATGCTTGTACGTCGACCGAAAGCATCCGCTTTTTTTTTTTTTTTTTTAGACTAGTGATTCCCAACATTGCGTGAGCTGGGGCACATTCGTTTGAAAAGTCCTTCATCACACCGCCACTCCGAAATGTCACAGAAAGGGATATGCCGCAGTGTGAAATCCACCAGTCATTGAAAATGGACACAGCCTAAGATGGTGGCAAAGCACTACTTTTGCTTCAACATCGTTTCGTGGCACAAGATTTAATAGGAATGGAATCAAAGTTTCAAACTACCAATTGGTGAATTTTGTCTGCAAACAAGCGAACCCACAAGTGTCGTACACGCAGACATGCCCCGCGATTGCAACCCCCAAATGAAACCAGAAGCATGACAAAGCCATCCCCAAAACATATTGCTCACTCCTATCGTGCCGCCCTTCAAAAGCAACGGCGAGCATTGTTTGAGATTGAAAGCAAAGAGATTCGCAGGTACGTTTACATGTGGCAAAGACCACGATGACGACTTTTTTGGGCACCGTCGCGTGGCATCTTCGGCTGCGACGGAAAGATGGATGCGAAAGATACGATTTGTAGTCAACAACGTTTGATGGAATCGGATGAAACGGGAATGTGCCGTGGTGGCACCCCGGTTGGGAATCGCTCTTGTCCACCGCAGCCAAGGATTTCGAGCCCTCGTCTGTCTGTCTGTCTGTCTTAGCATTTGTTCTCCAGGGTACGAGCGCGAGAGAGCGTTGCGACCAACCAAAATCTCCCCAGCCTCCACTTCAAATCTTTCAGAAAATAGAAAAAAAAAAGCGAGCTCTTACAATCAACCCAGTGTGAGTGCTCCTTTGAGGGAACCGCACCTTTGTAGATGTAACTGACAGTTATGCCGAACAGGGTGTCCAAACCAACATGGGATGGGGGTGGGGGGGGGGGTATAGATATAGATATCTTCCAGCCACTGAGGTCTCGGAAATGCACTTTTATTTTTTTAAGGCAAGGCTGACCAGGGTAGAGACTTGCCAAAAGGTGGCTCGTCTCCTTTGTCCGACGTGACATTTAAGGGGCGGGGCTCCATTGTCCTGAGCTGACGTCACATTCATTTGGCCCGAACCGCAACGCAGTTCAAACAACAAAGTGTTATTTGTGATATTTACAAAAAAGGAAACAAAGTTGGATTCTCACCAAAACAAATTTGCCGTCCTAACACACTGTCATCTTTCCAGAGGAAAGTCGTCATCTCAAGAAAACGGTCCTCATTTTTCAAAATTGTCTCACAAGAGCAGTCGTACTTTTGTCGAAAAATAGTTTCCAAAATGTTCTTGATTTCCAAGAATAAAGTTGTAATCGAACAAGAATAAAATGATAATGATGCGGGTCTAAAATGAACATTTGAGGAGAAAAGAAATTCAAAACATTTTTTCTAAATTGGGACTTTATTTTGAGATGTACTCTCTGGTTGCTTAAATATTTTTGTCTTGGAAACGATGACTGTTTTAATATGACTGTCTTAACAAAAAAAAAACAAAAACAACGCCTCATGGACGGGCAGCTTTTGTTGTGAGATGAAGGCTTTTTTTCCAAGACGAAACAAAAGCATTGCTCTTGTAAGAGTGTGACTTTACTCCCGAAAATACCTTGTGGGGTGGGGTGGGAGGTCTCTTTCCTCCTATTACGACTTTTTCCTCCTCGTTTTCCTTTCACAATTCTTAACGTGGCTCGACTCGAATACTTGGCCTCGTCTCACGAGCTCCTTTTCCACCTCCTTTCCTTTCGGGTCACGTCATCGCGCCGCATACGGGGGACACGTCGGAAAACCTACTTTTTGATTTTCTTTTTTTAACTCCCATGTGCGCGTGGACTAAAGTCTCTGTTGTTGAAATCTTGCGAGACAGACGGGGCAGGCGCCCGCCGGTTGTGGTGCCGCACGCGACGTCGTTGGGCATTTTGACGTTGTACCTTTCGCAAGCCCCGCTCACAACAGATCAGTTGCCTTGGATGTTGTTTTTTTGCCTCTTTGCCGACCACTTCAGCACCTACACACAGACCATATGCACGCGCGCGCGCGCGGACAGACCGTCGAATTGCCTCCTCGGTCCGGCGCGAAGTATCTGAATGTGTTTTTGCCGCAGTCACGTATCGGGGCTGATCCTCCGCAAGTTTTTGCCTTTACGACGGACCGGAGGAGCCTGATCCCCGCCTGATCAGCGCTCCCGCTATTCTTCTTCTTCTTCTTCTGATATCAACCCTCCTGTTACGTCACGGGTCACTCACAGCCAAAAGTTCTTGCGGATCCCAATTTTGACAAGCAAAACAAGTCGAGGACTAAAGTTGGATTGAAACCGTTCCTGCAGTTGCTCATTGTTTTGGAAACAAATTTGCTGCCGCTCAGTTTGGTATGGGGATATCGCGGAAGGAATTTCACGCACCCGATGACGCAACGAATCACGTTTCAATGCGATGCGTTTCATGTTGTGAGAAGTTCCGCACTTGACAAATGATTACGTTTGAAGTGACCTGAAGTTATCACTTGTCAACGTGATCGTTTTTACGCCACTCTTAAAAACCCCGCACGTATAAATCATTCACGAGACTTGGCCTTAGTTTTCTTTGATTTTTTATTTTTTTTTCTTTTTGCATTGTTGCAGAAGTGCGGCAAAGTGACCTTGGTAGTACCTTTACTTGAAGAGACACCAACAGGGCTCCGTCAGTGACCTGCGCTTGCTTCGTCGTCTTGTTTTGAACTTCTCACGTTAACAACGTGAATCTCATCGTGTTCAAATGGGAAATTGATCACGTTATCATATTTTTGTGTGTGGTCTAGCAGCGGTGCACTTCCGCGGTCACGAGATGTCCACAAGGGGACGTTTCATGTGACAAATCGACAGCTTACTTGCTGTTCAAACTTTTTTTGTCTTTTTCTCCTTGCCCCCCAAAAAACACTTTCTGTGATAATTACACAGGAGTTGACCCAGGAAGAAACAAGCTTGCTTTTTCCTGAGCTTGGCAACTAACAGGAGGGTTGAAGTGCATTTGTGAATATGGATCTGGGTCCGTGCTGCGGGACCTCCCGACCTGATGCCTCACCTCTCAACACGCACTCAAAACACACGTGTGCGTCTCAAAACTGACATTCCTCTTTTATTTTTTTACTTGGGGATTTTGGGGGGTTTTAGTTCCAGATGTATTTTAATACTAGCTTTGGTTTCCTTTTTTGGTGGAGTTTTATTTGCCAAAATAATGTACACGTGCCATCAAGCGCCAAACGGTTGTTGTTATACCTCCTTAAAAAAATGGCCGCCTCGGACAAGTTAGACATTTCTTGGATACAGTGGAACGCCCACACATCAAACGCCCGGGGGGGGGGGGGTCTTTCCTTCTTGTAAGGCCTTAAAATATTTGTGAATGCAACCGTGACTAATAAATAGCTGAAAATATGACGCGAGGAAGCCCCACCCCCAAAAATAGCATTCCCATTCTTTTTTCTTTCACACAAAGTCTTAAATTTGACTCCCCAAATAAGTGACATTGCTTATTTTCACGAGAATAATCACTCTTTTTCAAAATTCTTAAATTTGACTCTGAATAAATCAAATAGAATTAACATTCAGAATCATGGTTTTACCAAGCAGATGCTCCTTTTGCTAGCAAAGTGACTGTTGTGAAAATGACCAGAGAAGCTTTCAAGTGATCAGCGTGGCCTTGAATTTGTTTCCATTCATGAAATGTGAGTCACGATCCGAATTTTCCCAAGCCAAAGCAAATGTAAGTCCCACAATGCCTCATGGCTGGGACGAAAGAGACCCCCCTAAAACAAACTAACAGCCCACTCTTCTCCCCTGTCTGTTTGACGTTTGCCAGTCGTCTGAGCAATTTGAACTTTATTTCACTTTCAGACCCCAATGACTGTGCACGTTATAACTCGTACCCTAAAACGGACCTCAATTTGCTTACAAACTCGCATCTTCAAAGGCTACCTCGTTTTAGTTTACTTTAGAATGCCTACATTGTCTTACATGATTGAAGTGTCCTAGATCGTCTTAAAATTGACCTTTTGCAATCATTTCACCAAGCTAACATTGATAGCATTGAAGCGAACGGTTAGCATGAAAAGAACCACAGGAGTTTAAACAATGTGGCAGTTATGGCACGTTTTCCTCATGTCAGGGCCTCAAAATTGGACCGCCGGGGCTTAAATATTGAAGTATCATTGTTGTATGGCGGCTACAGTGTGAGTGTGCAAGGGATTAAGTGGCTTCCCATTGTTTCTTAGCTGAGGAAAAACACTTTTGGATTGGTTTGCGTTTGACGTGGGAAGTTGCACTGTATCGGCCTCAAATAAGAGCCGGGCGTACAGTATGTCCTTCCGTTTGCGGGCCAAGTCTGCCTTCACGTTCAAGTGTAGTGTGCGTACACTATTGATCTCCGTGCGCTTTCACGGCCTCCGGACCCACCTTAATCCAAACAGCGTCAGAAAAAGAAAAAACAACAAAAAAGGAGCTACGCTACGGACATGGAACAAATCATGCAAGTTTTTATTTGTGGGACAGTTCCACAATGGGGTATTACATGGAGAGACAAAAAAAAAAAAAGCCTGGTTTTATTTGTTCAAGTATTTATTCATATCAAGATATCTGTATTGTGTGATTCAATAATTATTTATATGTTGTCCTGAAATGAATTATTTTTATGGAGAAATCAGAATTCTGTCTACTGTGTTTTTTAACCTGCGGCCTCATTGTTGCACTCTTCTTGCGTCAAGCTTTTAAGAAACAACAGTCACGAATAACAATACAGTTGTGGTTCTCAAGCCTTTTACACCGAAAGCCTACCTCAGCGAATTCGAAGCTCTCCAAATTCCATGCTAATCACCAACGGTGGCCTAACAGGCTCCGTTGCGCATCAAAAATGAGGCAACGGTTACACTGCTTTAATAAAAAGTACATTTCATACCAGTGTAACATGATGCGCTGTTAGGACTTTCGCAATGCACTTAATGATTCAATTCAAATGCATTGGACATGAAAGTCCAATAAAAATTGTCATCAAAACGCTCTAAAAGATTGAATGCAAATCTACACTTGTGAAAGACATCTGAACTGTACACAATGTACACGAGAAAAAGATAGTTTAAGCCAAATCACATATGGAAAGTTGGACTCTGATTCTCATGTACCACAAGAATGGGTCTATCCACATACTACTAATGGTCCTTGTGCCACACATGAACAAAACTGTCAGTGAAACAACTGAAAACTTGACCATATTCATTACATATATATATAGAGAGAGAGAGAGAGGTGTGTGTGTGTGTGTGTGTGTGTGTGTGTGTGTGTGTGTATATATATATATTCAATTGTGAGAGACAGAATGTAAAGAAAATATATATAGATAGATAGATGGATAGATAGATAGATAGATAGATAGATAGATAGATAGATCGTATTTGAGTAGCCTTTTGCACTGTGAATACTGACTACAACTCCCAGCATTCCGTCGAAGTCACTGACTTTGAAGGGTTGTCTTGTTTTGGATCACTTATCAGGCGTTGTCGTACTGTGCCCGGGCGGTGACGTGACTAAATTTACACCGCCTTTTTGGGACGCGTGAGCCGAGAAAACAATCACTCCAACTTTACTGTTGCTACGCGCGGCTCGAAATTGTTATTACTTGTGGCTTCGGTCGCATGTTTCATCACAACATTCAATCCCCGAGTGTCATTAAAGTGCTATAAATGAAACATTTCGAATCGGACGAGGAGGAAGCAGAGCATCCGAATGGTTACCAGAAACAGCTGAGGCGTGAGTGGACGCTGTTTTGTGTTTGTGGGTCTTCGCTAATGTAGCTAATTCTAATTAGCATTCACGTTAGCAACGCGTTCAAGATTCAACAGATTTGCCTCGAGGCATCTTTCCGTTTACTGAGTCTCTGTGTTTTCTTTTTGTCTAATTTAAACATCAAATCGTCTCATAGTCATTTAATAGACTCACGTTTAGTCTCAGTTCTAAGTTAATGCCACAGGTTGCCCTTTAGGGCTGACAGGACATTGGACATAACAATTAGGCACTCCCACATTGCTTTTTAAAAAACGGGATGCAGTATAGTCGCTGTGCTTGTATCTCACCTTTACGACAACGATAACGCTTCATTTGGATTTTAGTTCTATGTGGATAACCGTGGTTGTAGTTTGCAGTGCCATAGTGGTGAAAACGTCTTCCTCGAAGTTTGGGGGTGGAATCTTGAATGTGGCGTTCCTGTATGGTGCAATTTACGTCTTCATTTTCAATACATTTAATTGAAATATTATACTGTTGTCTTGGTATATTGTTTAACGTTTAATTGTAACACCAAATGTTTCATTTAATGACATGTTATGTTTTACCAAACCAGTAAGCACATTTTTTATCAGGTTCAAAAAAATAATTCACCTTAAAAAACAAACAAACAAACAAACATAAAATTCCCCACAGGATTGTTGCTATGTGCTTTAAGATACCAGCGAACCCATGTCACAAATGATTACAAGCGCGATGGAAAATGGAAGGTTGCATAATAATGAACATCTGCTTGTGCGTTTCAGAGCGGGCCAACCAAAGCCTACAGCAGCTCAGCGACGCTCTGGAGCAGCTCCACCACGATGACGATGAGGAAGATGAGCCGATCAGATGCGGCGGTGGCAGTGATGGCACCCTCGCCTCCACATTGGAGAAGGACCGACCTGTGTGGTGCCAGAAGAAACAAAGCGAAGCAGGTGACGCACAAATAATTATTGCAATGACAGGGACCGCAGCACTGCTGCAAATAAGAAAAATTTGTGAGTATTTGACGCCCACTCAAAAAGGTTTATAATTGCCGATAGATGCCATTTTATGGTGACATAGCACTTTTTCTGAATTAGACAAGACTATGGCCTGACTGGAATATCAAGCTCATCACATCACAGTTCCTTGACACAAAGATGCCCGAAGATGGTGCCAAAGCAAATATTCTTTGTGTTAGACATGGATTTGGCCTCAGCACCAAAACGTTGGAAGCTACTGTAAAACTGATACAAAACAAAAGAGAATTAAACGCTGTATATTAAGCACCAACATTTTCAACCTAAGTTGATTTTTTTTTCTCGACATTTTTAAAAAGGAAAGTCTGCAAGCTTAATGCTCATACAAAGCAAAGCACCATAGACAGGCTAATGGGAATTAGCATGGATGTTACGGTAATTAAAAGTGTAAAAGTTCAAGGCTTGTAATCACTTTTGTGTGTTTGTGTGTATGTATGTGTGTATTGTATACATTTGTGTGTGTGTGTGTGTGTGTGTGTGTGTGTGTGTGTGTGTTTTAGTGTATGTGTGTGTGTGTGTGTGTGCTGCCGCACAGTCAATCAGTCACCTGGTGGATTTTCTTTTCTCAT